TATGTTTAGTAGTATTGGTTTATTGGTCTGAATTAAATGGGAACCGTGCAGTCAGTCACTCAGTCACTACTAGTAGGTGTGTATAGAAGGTAGAGTCTGGTAGATTTATAGGACATAAAACAAGTAGATCTATTGATAGTGCTGTGCACTGTGCAATCAGCTACCTATCTGTTATGCGACTCTTCAATGTTTAGGAGATCTGCATTCCTGAAGTGTTTTTGTATATTGAAGCCAGTTAAATGGTCAATTTTTAGCTCATTACCTTGCTCCATACAAACTTTACAAAGCTAATGAATAGACTTATCAATAATTGTTTACCCAAAAATCCCAAAGTGGTAAACACCACCTTGGCCTGTTGACCATTATTGAAGGCAATAAGTGCCCTTTTTAGCCATACATTATGATCCATATACTGTTATTGTTAGTAGGCTAATTGCAACATAAAAAATAACACCTCGAAAATACAAAAAAGCTGAAAAAATCAAAAAAATCAAATAAATAAAAAAAATCATGAAAAAATCAAAAAAATTATTGATTTTTGATTTTTTTGATTTTTTTAAAAAAATCAAAAAAATCGCCAACCCTGTCCTCTTCACACCTTAGCATCTTTACCTGTGCCAAAATGGAAACCTACACCAGAAACATTGCATAAATTGCCTGGAAACCTAACTCTCCCTAGCTTGGTTCAACCAGCCTCAGTTGATGAAGTGGCAGACAGGATAACTTCATGCATTATTGATGCTGCATCTGCTTGTATTCAACAAAGTGGCATGCATATAAATCGACAAACTTCTCCTTGGTGGAATGAGGCTTGTGGTGAAGCAGTTAAGGGTGAGCACCATGCTCATCAAGCACTGGAGAGGCATCCCACTTGAGCCAATCTTATTGAATATAAACGCTGCCAGGCCGTGGCCAGGAATTGTATACTTCAAAGCAAGTGTAGATATAAAAGAGAATTTCTGTCATCAATAACCTACACAACACCAATTGGAGTTGCATGGAGGAAAATCTGCCTACTATGATCAAGGTTTACTCTGCCTATGTACCCTATTGTTGACAATGGGCAAATGTTGAGTAATACCCTTGACAAGGCAAATTTACTCTGCCATAACTTTCAGGCTGTTGGAGAAAGTGGAGAATTAAGAGCCACTGCAGATCTACAAAGGATTATTGTTGGAAGCTGGGCTGGAACTGGGGACTATAACTCCTTTCAGTAGGGATGAGCTGTGCCGAGCTACGAGGCACATGCAGATGAGTACAGCAGGCAGGGATGAAATACATAATAGCTTTCTAAAGGCCCTTTCTGATGAACATAAAGACTCAATTTTGGCCTTATATAACCAAAGCTTTCAACTGGGCATCCTTCCAAACTCCTGGAAGGAAGGTATTATATTGCCAATCCTGAAACTGGGGAAAGATCCTACAATGTCAACCTCTTATTGCCCTGTTACGCTGCTTTCCTTTATTGATAAATGATTAGAATGTCTTGTGGCTGCTCGCCCGAGTATTTAGTTGACCAAATGTCTCTTCTCTCCCCTAACCAATGTGGTTTTTGACGTGGGCACAGCACTATGGATGTCCTGCTTAGGCCAGAGAAACATATTTGCTCAGCTCAAAGTTGGTGCTTAGGTGTGTTTGGTTGTTTTTATAGATTTGCAATCGGCATTTGATAAGGTATGGGTAGATGGTCTGCTTTATAAGTTGGCAATTGCTGGAATTGGTGGTGCAATGGCATGTTGGCTGCATGCCTATTTGACATCTTGACATCTCGCACTGTTCGTGTGAGAGTCAATGGAGTTCTGTCTGACCACCTCCAATTATCTACAGGGGTGCCTCAGGGTGCTGTTCCAAGCCCTTTGCTCTTCAACCTCATGTTGATGGATGTCCCTCAGCTTGATGGAGTCAATGTGCTATTATATGCTGATGACATAACAGTGTGTGTCCGGGGGCGCAACAATGGGGGCAGCCAAGTCTCTCACACAGCAATACTTGAACATATTTAGGGCATACTGCGCAACTTGGGGGTTAGTAGTAAATGCACAAAAAACTGTCTTCCAATATTTTACTCATAAGCATGTAAATGTCCCAGTTTAGAGATGTGGTCAACAACCACTTAGATATGAACAACAGCATAAGTTATTAGGAATGATATTGGATGCTCCTTGCCTCAAGTGGGGGCCACATTTGTGCCATTTTTGCACAGATGTGATACACCATATGGACTTGCTTGAACACTTGGCATCACCAAACTGGGGTGTCAGTTGTCACTTCCTCCATCTATTTTACTGTGCCTATATCAGGGCTAAATAACACACTATGGGTGTGTTCTTTATCTGACTGCAACTGCATCATCTGCACAATTATCAAAATTAGACATACTTCAACATGCTTGTTTGAGACTTGTCCTAGGCACTCGTTGTACTACACCAGTAATTTCACTTGGTATTGAGGCCCATGTTCCCCCATTGGCCCTGAGACAGCAATACTTGACTGCTAGTACATATATAATGCTGCAATATCATCCGGCTAGGGATCATACCGCAGCAGCTGTATGTGGCGGTGCTACATCAGTGCTCAGCCGGGGCCTTCAGCTGCTCACTGACCTGGGGCTCCAGATTTGTTATCGCCAGCCTCTACCAGCATTTGATCCGGTTCCCCCTCAGATTTGTGTGGCTTGTCTTATTTGTCTTGTTTTTCGCTTCATCGCTGGCTTGACTGATTCAACTGTTTTTTCTGCTCATGGTAGGGAACATTACCCTGGGGACAAGGCAATCTACTGTGATGGGTTGCGATTGATGGACAATCCATCTAAAGCCTGTGGTTTATATATACCATCACATGCAAGGGCAGTTGCATGGAGGCTTAACCCCAGGCATAGCATCCTGTCAGCTGAATTGATCACCATATTACATGCTTTGAAGCTTGTTGTAAGTGAGACATCTCTATACTGGGTTATTTTCTCAGATTCACTTGTGGCCTTGCAGCTCCTATGTTCCCCAATGGATACAAATTGCGATCTTGTATATCAAATTCGTCAGCTGCTCCTGGATCTGAATGAGAGGAAAACTGTGCGCCTACAATGGGTCAGGGCCCATGCTGACATTATTGGGAATGAGCAGGCAGATGCAGTTGCAAAGATGGGTCATACTCTGGACCCTTCTGTGTTATTTCATCTCTTGTGTTCTGACACACTTGCTTTGCTTTGTTCTTGCTTTGTCAGGTCTTGGGAGCTGGACTGGATCTCTACATTGGCTGTTGAGGGTAAGGGACATCATCTTGCTTCTGTGCAGACTAATTTGTCCCCTGTTCCATGGGTTGCATGTTGCTCCTGTCATGCTGCCATGGTTCTTACATCCCTTTGTTTGGGTCATGCTGGGGTTCGATCATACCTTCATCAATTTGGCATGGCTGAAACTACCATGTTGTTGTTGATGTTTTCCGAACCCGTCATGCCAGGAAGCCTGCGCTGTGCAAGAAAGCTGCCACCCAAGGCTGCATGGACCATAGCTGCACGATGGATGTTATGTCTGCCTGCAGCCTGGGTGCTGCCAGGATGGTGACCGCAGCAGAGTCTGCTGAGGTGCACCCTGTCTGCACGGTTCAACTACTGTTCTGTATGGCTGATGTCTGGTGGTATGTCAGCAATGATCCCCCCATGTGTCGGGGGATGTCATCACTGCCATGTGCTTGCACTGTGGGGTGGAGGATACCATAGGGCATTTTCTCCTGGCATGTTTGTAGTACTGCCTGGAGCATCAGATGCTGATCAATAGTACTCAAGCCTTGGGTGTCAGCCTCCATCTGTTCAGATACTTTTTGGAGGAGGCAACTTTTGCAGAAAGGTTCAGCATGCAATAATAAGAGCAACAGTCATCAATTTAACACAGACAAATTACCTGGCTTCTCTGTAATGCACAAGTAACATCTTTGTTTGAGCTCAGATCCAAAAGCTATAAGCCCATTGAATAAGATCTCAAAGAACCAGTGAAATAACACTGAAACTTCCCAAGTAAATCCTGCTGAGTCCAGGTGTAACAAGTGGTCATCGGGCGGCTACTTCCTCACCTACAAGCTGCCAACAACAACACAATGGCAAAATTGCGACGTTGTAAACGACAATAATAAATTTGATGATCTTTTGGGAATCTTGAAAATTTGAATGGAATAAAAAATTAATTAGTGTAAATCAGTTTTGTATCCTTGACAACTGACTAAATCAGACTAATTATTACTATAAAAAGATCTTGTGGATTCAGATCAAAGCAGAAGTGTTTTAACTTGTTGTGAAGTTGTGAACACCAGAATTGTGAACTGAGGTCTGGGAGATCCTGCATAGCAATTCAAGATTCAACATTGTCAATAGTGACATGCAATCTACTTAGCACATATGATTAACCTTGATCCAAAATTAACCTGTTACCTCTGATTAACTTATCTTCTCAATATTAATTACAGACAACAAATAATTTTGAAAAAGAGATTGTCAACTAAATTATTAATATAACCTGTCCACCTAATAATATACGTTTAAAAATTACTTTTTAAAGACAACACTTCCAAAGAATCCAGTGTCTCCAATCTTACAGATGTACAATGAATTTCTCATTTAATTTTCGAATATTAAAAAAAATTATTTTTCAAATTTTTTTAATATATAAGTTTTTTTAAATATATAATTTTTTTCAAAATTATTTATTCTATTAATTAATTCATGCATTGCCTCTGACTTCACACAAGTGTGCAAAATTTCAGATCAATTAGACAGGTAAAAGTGTGTCAAATATCAGTTATAAGATTTGAAGCTGACAAAATTATTTTTTAAATTTTTTCAATATTAAAAAAAATTGTTTATTAATTTTTGAAATAATTTATTTTGACATTTGATTCATGCATTGTCTCCAACTTAACACAAGTGTGCAAAATTTCAGGTCAATAGGATAAGTAGAAGTGTATTAAATTTTGATTACAAGATTTGTAGCAGACAGACAAACAGACAAGAAGTGAAGTTAAAGAGAAGTGTTGTAAAAATGGATGTAGATGTAACAGACAATACTTTAGAGGAGTCATTTTTTGAATCCAAGAACTTCTGTGCTTCTGCAATAGAAACAGTGTTCATCAAAGAAGAGCTTGATGTTCCAAGTGTTGGTGTCTGCACACAACCTGATGCCATTATTGGCATCAAACTCGAAGAGGAGGTAGTTGATGTGAAGACCGAGCTTGACTGGAATGAAGCCCTGAATCCTGATCTCATCAAGGTAAGGTTTCACTGGAATTGATGATAAAAGTGGTTAATTATACCTGGCAAACATATTCATATAGTGATCCAGTTTTTTTGTGCTTAATGTATTTTTTCTTTTGTCATTCTTATATCTATTTGGCAAAGCTTATATAATTACATTTCATATTTATGTGGAATCATGTATTGTAAAGTTGTATATTTGAATTTCAAGTTTTCAAATATTGATTATGATCTTCAAGATTGATATCATATAATCCTAAAAATTTAGATGATGATCCTGAAAATTTAGATAAAAATTAACACTTGACCTTAGAGATTTACAAGGCCAGTGATATTTTTCCTCCTAAATTTGTTTACTCTTTGCACAATTACAATCTATCTGGAGCTTAAAAATTTTTCTCAATTCTGAATAGTCTGAGTTTTGTAATATTATTGATGTATTGGGTTGTCTTGATTGGCTAAATGAGGGAAGGTATTCAAGGCTCTTTAAAATCCAAGGGGTTAGATAAAAGTTGGCCTCCCAACTCCCCTTATAGCCAACCCTGTCCACCAGGCGTTTTTTTTTTTTCTTTTCAACTTTATTTTATTCTGATACAAAACTTAATTATTAGAGAATTCAAATTTAAACCTACGTGAGAACTTAACACAACTGTGGCTCAAAGCAGTGGCTCAAATGGGCAAGTGGCTCAAATGGGAACCCTAAATCAAAAAGCCTAACCAAATAACCATGTAACTTGGTGGAATCCAACCATTAGGCATTACCTAAACCGCTAAACAACAAAACAGGTTGTGGTTTCTTGCGCCGACATCGCACTCACAGAGCTGGAGGCTATGGTGGTGGCCAAGGGAGAGGTACTGGAAGAGAAGGGCAAAGGCAGGGAGGGTGGCCAGGAATGCCACTGCCTCCACATGGCTGTCCCACAATGAGGAGACGCTGAGGGACATGGGAGATAGAAGCACAGCCTGGACGTGGGAGATAGAAGCACAGGGGACGAATAGGGGAATATAGTGTCTATAGAATAGGTGATGTGGGAGATAGATGCTGAGGGACATGGGAGATAGACGCTGAGGGACATGGGAGGTAGAAGCACTGCCAGCACACCAGATTGTGGTGTAGGTCCATGACCACAATCATATTGAGGAGAGGGGGTCTACACTATTGAAAGCTTTCAATATGTCGACCACAGCTGCCACTGTGCAGGCTGGAGGTTGCTTAAGAAAACACTTGAAGATGCTTCTGTAAAATATTCACACTATCAACACATAACACAACCATTATTAAACACAAATGTCAATACAAACTGAAAAAACATATATGCTCAATAAACTATCAAACAGATAACAGATAAATATATTTCTCAGCTATAACAGTATTATCAAAACCTCTGCATTAAAATCTTCATCAATGGATATATGGGCAGTGCTTTAAAAAGGGTAAATATTGGCAACTACTCACCAACCACAGGCAGTAGTGTAAGTACACGGTAACGACTGTTGGCAGATGTTCAATTGGAATCAACACTGACGTATGAAATAATGGTCAGTAAAGAGGATGAGATGGTGAGCACTGATAAACACAAAAATGGGTAATGTTCACAGTGAATGTCAGGATTCAAAATAACTTCATATTAACCCAGAATTGGGGGAGCATTATACTTCCCAAGTGGGATCAAGGTAACAACACTCTCCAGCAGTAAGAGTGACTGCCTATAACATCAGCTTTTCATCTTTTACACTACCTGTATCCAATGAATTTTTGAGAGAACATTCGTAATGCTGAAGAGAATTTTTGAGAGAACCCAAATCTTCAACATTACTAATGTTAATGTTTTGTTTTATTGTTCGGATTTAGTTATAATGGTAATATGTGGTAAAAAATAACTTTTTAAAGATATCACTTCTAAAGAGGCCAGTGTCTCCAAAATTTTTTTTTCTTTTTTAAATATTCTTATATAAATTTTTTTTAATATATATAAAATTTTTTCATTTTTAAAATTACCATACTTATTCTGTTGGCTTATTCATGCATTGTCTCTGACTTCTTGCAAGTGTGCAAAATTTCAGGTTGATAGAACAGGTAAAAGTGTGTTAAATATTGATTATAAGATTTGCAGCAGACAAACAACAGGTACCCAGTGAAGTTAAAGAGAAGTGTTAGAAATAGGGAACTTTATAAATACTTGGTATTGAAACTGGTACATTTTCCTCATAAATTTCTAATCCTGCAAGTGAGAGTTGATGGTTTTTGATCTTCAAAAACAGAAATCAATTCCTTTGATTTCCCCTAAGCAAGGACGAAATCCTTGAACAAGACATCTTGTTTTTATAGTGTGGGGATATGAGGAAATGAACTCAAATCAGTTACATTCAATGTGACATGGTCACTCTCTTGAATCTGGAATCACATTTATGGAAGGATTTACAATGTTATTACCTTTTTCTCATGTTTTTGGTGTTCATTATTCTCAACACCACATATTATTATCAAAACCATCCTTGCCACCTTGAGGCAAGGGTGGATTGTTTACACTGCCAACAGTAGTTCTTTCATCTTGAAGTTGTCCATGGTCTGCTTGTGATAATATTACCTAAATATCCATAATATATAGATATAGCAAAGTATGTCCTACTTTATGTGGCCCCTGAACTATCATCAACAAGAACACAAAAATAGTTGATTAATATTCAGCATTAGAACAGCAAAATACAAATTTCAAATTCAAGGGTTATATTCATCTCAGTAATTCTGAAAATATTGTTTCAAAATATAAAATGCAAGGTTGTTGTTGTGGCCAGCTGAGGCATCACTGGCCCCTGCAGAGGCTGCAGCCAATGTGCGACCGCTGCTGTATGTCTCCGTAGAGATAACAGTAGCTGCATGCATTGATGTTGATTCTGCTTTTCAAGCTGTTTAGGAGAATGCTTAGACAAGCACGAAGTTTTGGCAGCATCTGTCTTGTAGATCTGGGGAATAATTGTTCAGAGGTCCAGATTGGGCAGGCATAGTGGATTATTGGATGACATGGTTTTGTGTGGTTTTTGTGGGTTTAGTCCTTGTCTTTGTACATATGATGTTTGTGAGAGGGCTTATAGTACAATATTAAGTATTGTGACTTTTTGGTTGTGGTTTTCTGGTGGGCAGGAAAAGTGGACATAGCATCAATGGTTAGGCCAAGGAGTTTTAGGTAGTGTTCAAGTTGAAGCAGTTGGTTATTAATTTTTATTTGAGGGCAGTAAAGGTACTGGGCCATGTGAGGGTTACTATTGATTTGGTGGTTGAGATTAACAGCTTGTAGGTATTGGAAAAAGTTGGGTATTGCCTTGCTGTTGAAGAGTAACTACACTACTATTGTTATGGGCTGTCACTCTTACTGCTGGAGTGTGGTGGTTACCCTGATCCCACTTGGGGAAGTAATGCTCCCCCAGTTCTGAGTTAATGCGAAATTATTTAGAATCCTGAAATTCATGGTGAACATTATCTATATTTGTGTTATCAGTGCTCTTCATCTCATTCTCTTTGCCTTTTTGCAGACCATTATTTTATGTGTCAGTGGTGATTTAAATTCCAAATCTCCTATCAATTGATACCCTATACTCACACTACTGCCTGTGGTTGGTGAGTAGTTGACAAAATATACCTACCTTTTGTAATCACTGCTCATATATTCATTGATGAAGATTTTAATGTCGTGTTTTTGAGAATACCGTTATAGATGAGAAATATATTTATCTGTTATCCTGCTTGATAGTTTATTGTGTATATATGCTTTGAAGTTTGTAGTGATGTTGTGTTTAATAATAGTGCATTAGGTGTTGATAATATAAATATTTTACAGAAGCATCTTCAAGTACTTTCATGAGCGACTCATGCCCCAGTTGTCCAGTTGTCTGGGTCTGGTTATCTGGTTGCCCGTTTGCCTAGTTGTTCAGTTGCCGGTTGTCCCGTCTAGCAGTTATATGGTTATTCGGGTATATGATTAATGGTTTTCCAGTTACCCAGTTATTTGGCAAGGTTTTTTTGATTTAGGGTTCCATATCAGGATTAAATTTAAGTCCCTTAATGATTAATTCTTGTATTAGCATTAAATAAAGTTAAACAAAAAAAAAAAAAGAAAAAACACCTGGTGGACAGGGATGGCTATAAGGGGAGTTGGGAGGCCATCTTTTATTTAACCCTTTAGATTCTTAAAGAACCTTGAATACCTTCCCTCACTTAACCAATAAAGACGACCCCTTACACTATGGCAAAACTATAGCTCTATTACTTATCAGCACAGCAAATTAAAAAAAATAATTGTATCTGACTTTATACAAAATAATAATAATGATGCTGAGAAATTGTTTCATGAATCAGATCATACTAAGTGAAAATTCCCAAACGATTACAATATTTTTGTCACAATTTTACATTTTTGTTTTGACACATAAGGGATTTCTTTGAGAATCAAACTTAAAAGTCAACAGTTTAATATGGCTGTTATTATTATGTGAGAATATTTTAATCTATATATTTTATCATTAGCAAGACAAAGATGGGTCAGCATCAGGAGAGGCTGCTGGTGGCGCTGATGGTTGTGAAGTGTGCAGCACAAAGCAACACATCTGGCTCGGGTGTTCCCAGTGTGGATTGGTGCCTGCAGGTGCAGGCCAACTGCAGCAGCACATTGATTTAGAACATCCTGCTTCAGGACCTGCTAACTGCTCTAAATACACCTCTAGTTCGGGAAGTGTACTACCGAAGAAAAAAAAGGACTACACAAGAAAATCACTTCAAGAGCAAATCAACTCCAATTATTTGAGAAGAATTAAACACCAATGCAAATTCTGTTTGATTTCATGTGCTACTGATGCTGATCTCGAACAACATATTCTCTTGCTTCATCCTCAAAAAAAGAAAGGGAAAAAACCCATGGGTAAATACATGGGTGGTTGCAAAAAAATCTTGCAAAAGCATTGCCCTCCTAAACGTTCATCAATGAAGAAGTTTTGCTGCTCTAAGTGCGATTATGCTTGCACCAGAAAAAGACAATTAGACAGTCACTGTCTATACAAACATTCAACAAAAAAACCTTTTCAGTGTTCAAAGTGTAATTATGCTTGCACTACAAAATTGAACTTGGAACATCATATCCTTTGCAAACATTCAACCAAAAAACCTTTCCAGTGTTCCAAGTGTGATTATGCTTGCACCACAAAAATAAACTTGGAATATCATTTCCTTAGCAAGCATTCAACAAGCAAGCCTTTTAAATGCTTTGAGTGTGGTTACACTTCCAACAAAAAAAAGCCCTTAAGAAGTCACATTTACTTCAAACATTTTGTCAAGCCCATTCAGTGCCCTGAGTGTGATTATTCTTTTATCACAAAACAAGTTTTGAAAAGACATTTTCTTCTGCAGCATTCTACAGAAAAAGCCCATTAGATGCACCATTGAGTGGGATATGTGTATCTAAAATGCATACATATTTGAACAGCACTTAATCTCCAGAATCCATCAAAAAGCATTTCAGTGGCTCAAGTGAAGAGGCATGTGGATGGAGGGAGCTAGACACAGAAATCAAGTGCATAACATTTGATATTTTGAGACAATAGGACCAAGCTATGTAGAGTACCTAAACAAAGATGACCACTGCCGTGAAGGAATAGGGGCGCACCTGTTCAGTGTCCCTCAAAGGTGGCAATAGCTCAGAACGGTGTGGGTATGGAAGAGAACAAGAATGCCTCTCACTTGTTGGGGCTTGAATGCTGTTCATTGGAATATCAGCATCCATATTTCTTGAAGACTTCATTTCGGGCCAAACTGTTGCAGTTACCCCCAGGTTTACTGACTGATGGTTACTAACTTTGCTGCTGGTTTTCTGATACCAGAATACACTCTTGCATTGTTGTACAATTGATTGACCCTCCAGTCATTAAGTGACTGTGCAAAACTTTGGTTAATTGAATTTCATCTTTTGTTGGTGTCAACGTTTGTCGATGCTAAACTAGCCCCAACGTAATGATGACATAAAATTTAAGATACTGGGAAGTGATTTTATTTTATTAAGTGTCCTATTTCCAGAAAATGATTTGTTCATTAAATGGGAATCAATTTATTTTTAATTTTGCTGCTAAAGGACTGAATCCTTTGTTACGGTTCCTAAAAATTTAAATAAAATATTGTATGCTGATAATACTGATACATGGCTTAAAATACTGAGTATTTTAAGGCGTGCTTGCCTGGTGTTCCTCAGCTCTCTTTCTTTGTATTGTAGGTATGCATTACATTTCTCTTGATGGTTATTATAACATTTATTTTTGTAACAGTTTTGGCAAACCAAAATGTGTCCATTTTCCTCAAAAATATTCAAGTTCTTAGCTATTCCATGTTTACTTTTAATGCTCGAATTTACTCATAAACTGTCTTTCTCCTCAGTTATTCTTAATTTATAGACAACTCTAGCAGTGCCAGAATTATATCAATTGATCCTTTGTAAAAAACTACTATGTATTCTTTGTACCAACTTTGCTCATTAAAAATCAGAAAACACCAACTTTTATTAAGCATTAAATTATGTAGTTGAACCCCCCTCAGTGGGGACTTCAGACGTGTGTCTGTGCTCGTCAGAAGTCCTATGGGATTTCGCGCTCCTAGGGGGATTGTTCCTGAGCGCCCCACCGCTGAGCTCGCGGTGTCTGACTGTTGGTCTCAGTTGTGGGGTTAAGTTATTATGTATTTAGGATTCATTGCATTAAGTTATTATGTAGGTAGGATTCCTTACATTTCTCTTCTCTGTCTCTCTCGTGCGATCGGCCGACATCCCGTGTAAGCGACCTCTTGTTTCTGTTGCTTTTCACTTCACCTGTCCCTCCTTGTCACTTCGTCTCTATGAGTATCTTTTGCTGCTTCTTTCGAGCCAGCTTCAACGGGCTGGACATCTGAGACCTCCCGACCCTTGTGGGTGATGATTAAGTTGAGACTCTGAATAATTGAGACCTTCCGCCTCGTTGGCGATGTTAAATTTTGACCTCCGGTGCGTAATTGCTTGATAGCTGAAACGCTAGGAAACCATTCTACTACCTACTTACTTATGTAGTTGCACCGAGAATGTGTCGCATTCAGCTCGTCTGTGGCTGGAGACTCACAAAACGGCAACAGCATTGCAGGCCAGAAGTCCTGACGAGAGTTGCAGGACAGCGAGGTTTTGCTTGACCAGAAGTAACGACGATAATAACAGGACAGCGAGTTATTGCAGGCCAGAAATAACGATGAGTTGCAGGACAGCGAGGTGTTGCGGGCCAGAAGTCCCGATGAGAGTTGCAGGACAGCGAGATGTTGCAGGCCATTAGTCGTGACGCGAGTTGCAGGACAAGCGAGGTGTTGCAGGCCAGAAGTCCTGACGAGAGTTGCAGGACAGCGAGGTGTTGCAGGCCATTAGTCGTGACGAGAGTGGCAGGACAGCGAGGTGTTGCAGGCCATTAGTCGCGACGAGAGTGGCAGGACAGCGAAGTGTTACAGGCCAGATGTAACGACGTGAGTTGGGAGGTATTGTAGGACAGCGAAGTGTTGCTAGGTCAGAAGTCATGACAAGAATACATAAATATATTCTTTTATTGATATATATCGTGCGATAAATCCATTGGTGTATAAAAAAGGTATAAGAATTAACATCAGCACTACTCGCGAAAAATGTGTGAACGGGTGACAGGTGGGAGAAATAAGGAAGAATGTGATAAAATCTTATTCCAATTTATTGTTAATTTTAACTGCTAAACACGGAAGCAATTCTCGTGAACGTGTGAGCGATTTCAATGTCGACTGAAATACATGACGTCATAACTCCTTAAGAATGAACTGTAGGACGAGAGTTGCCGCTTGACAGGAGACGGCGACAGAGGACGCGCGGCGACGTCTGCAGGGCGCGCGACATCAGCAGCATCGGCGCCTTCAATGAATTCGTCAGTTCACACAACATTGAATGTTGAACTCCATTACAACGCACCTGGTAGAACTCTTGATACAAACCGTCTTACAACACGCCTGGTAGAACTCGTATTACAACCCGTCTTACAACACGCTTGGTAGAACTCTTGCTACAGCCCGTCTTACAACACGCTTGGTAGAACTCTTGCTACAACACGCCTGGTAGAACTCGTGTTACAACCCGTCTTACAACACGCCTGGTAGAACTCGTGTTACAAACCGTCTTTACAAAACGCCTGGTAGAACTCGTGTTACAAACCGTCATTACAACACGACTGTAAAACGCTTGTCAAATGCCTTTGCAACGTGTTTGGTACGAAGCATGTTGAAAAAAGGTAGAATATGCCTGATAGGATGCGTGTTAAAACAACTTCGTAACATGTTTGGTAGAACGCGTGTTAGAAACTGCCTGTGCAACACACGTGGTAGAGCGCTTGTGCAACACTCCAAGTAGACGCATGTTAAAACGCCTGTGCAACACACCTTAGCGTTTACACTTGCCAACTGGCGTGAGCTTCATTTAGTATTGTATAGTATCTTCGGCATTGAAGAATAGGCCTGTCGCCGATTCTTGCATTTTTCTTGACTAGAATTATTCATGCGAGAATTATTTCTTGCGAGTACATTCACACATCACTTATTTTATGTATTAATAATTTTGTTATTTTCGCATAAGTAATATTTAGAATTGAGTTTAGAGCAAAGTTTATTAGAACATTTACATAGATTGCAACAATAAGCCTTATAGCATCAGAGTCAGTTTGGATAGAACCGATTAAATGATTAGTTTTAAGACTCACTTTAAGCAAATTATGAACATTACAAGAAGCGGCAACGGGTCACACTCATAGTTGAACTATATACTAGTTCAACCATATACTAGTTCAACCATGGGTCACACCTACCTAATCATCGTTAGCGCTGCTATTCTACACTAAGTAAATGAGCTTGATTATATCCGCTACAATTTCCGGACTTACGTAAGCATGGCCCGGTAGAGTTGTTCCCTGCGGAGCTTTGTTGGATTCCAGTTGGGCTTGGGAGTTGTTTTTGGACGGTGATTGAGTAAACATCTTTAGTGGCAGTGCCTTCTTTTGAGAATAAAAATGTCTATCTTTAAACTAAGCTGGTTTGGGACGTTTGCTAGTGAGTTCAACTGGGGAAATGAAAATCGGCAAGCATCGAAAAAAAGAAGGCAATTCTTCCTGGTCTTGCCGGTTGCCGCTCATCTGACGGTCTGACCATGAAAGCGTCGACTCAGAGCCCTTATAAAAAGGCCTTATCTTCATAATTATATGCTATTCGTAATTGGACTTCTTCATATACCATCATGATGAGTACCGTTCATATATTAACCCTTCTGAAGTTCTGTAGTCCACCCTGAATTCTGCATTAGCAATACTTGCTCTTGCTGAAATGGCAAGACCTTTTCAATTTTCATGAGCAATAACAAGTGACTTGTACAACCAAATGAAGCAATCATTGCATTGCTCAACTTGAGAGTTGAGCCTGAGCCCTGAGGGAAACTGCATTTGTGAAACTCCTAAGTTCCTAACTTAGCAGCATCAACTCCATTCTAGAAAATTGGGCAGAATTGAACTTTGTTTGAATACAACCAAAGCAGGATGGAATTCTAATTTTGAAGGTTCATATATTATTTCGATCCACCAAGACCACTTTTTCTATCCAACATTGTTATTTGAGGCAAAAAATGAACTTCTTAAAGGCATAAAATACATAGGCTAACTTGGTCAGTTTCTATAAAGTACCTAACCACTTGGAAGTTTGGTATTATTGCAGATTAACTACATCCAAAAAAAAGGGTGTTTTTTTTTTAATTATATGTTTTTTGGGGTGTAGATTACGAATCTGAAATCCATTTTTGGCGGTCGGCATCGGAAAACCGATTTTTTAGATTTCGGAAGAGCGGCAGGCAGTTTCCAATGAGCTCAGTTTATATGATTTCACTGCAGTGGAAGGTGAGGTGGTGTAACGCGGTGGTAGGGTTGATTTTTCGATACGTTTTCATATATTAACATGAGAATATATTAACTATACAGAATTCCACACTGAACCAAAGAGAATAATTTATAATTATAACACAGTAACCCTATTCAGAATGCAACCCAGTTAACCAACTGCTTGTTGAATGTGGCAGGAGAAAATAAATGACAAATACTTGAATGGCCTTATGACTAGAGATTGATCAATCTAGACAAACTAATTGGTCATGGAATTGGTTAAATCATGACAATTACTGGTACCTACATTACTTGTGTGACAGGAAGTGAGGACCAGATTATTATTACCAGAAGTGACAGCTGACAGGTAGCATGAACAGGCTAGAATGTTTTCGCAGGGCCTGCAGGCTAAAAGGTTTGCAGCATTATAAACTGTTTAAATTGTTCTAAAGTTATGTTTATCTGCAGAGTGCCCGTTAAGCTAATCAATTATTATATTGTTAATTTCTGCATGTTAATCAATTATTGTAGGTATAGTTAATTTTTGTCAGCTGGGCCCCACACCTGCAGCTTCCTTAAGGAGCAGAGAACTTGCTTAGCAAATTGAGTTAAATTTACAGAACTGGAGTTGCTTGGCAAGCAGGAATAGGTTGATAATAACTTCAGGGTAAAGCAGGGTTCATGCAATGGGTCACTGGGTGCAGGTATTAGCTAGCAAATAAGTGTAGACAAGCTTGACTAAAAATGAATTTGCTGGTGCTTAGTAAACTTGACAGAAACTTTCAAATGCTGCATGCTACCAGCCCAGCAGCCAAAGATAATTATTGGATAGGTTGAGAAGGAAGATATGTCAGTAACAAACCCAGAATAAAGGGAACACATACAAGGATAAGAACCAAAATAAATTGAAGTGCTCCATTTAATTGATAAACAAGTGTTAGTAGTTAGCATATCTTATAAGTAAAATATTACATCATGTTATGAATATTGAATGTGAAGCCAGAAAAGTAAGTATCAAAGTTAAACTTTTGGGTGAGCAGCAGCATTTATTCAAAGTTTTGTGTACTAAAGCAAGTTTTTATAGTATGGCTCCGGGCTGTGTTCTTGAATCTATCTAATGCATTTGACCAAGTTTGGCGAGCAAGACATGCCCAGCCTGTGAGTGGTGTAGGGTGATAAGACACCTACACTGTTGAGATGGCTATGCACCTATATTACTATAGGTGCATAGCCATCATACTATTTACTATATATTATATGCACCTATATATATCTATATAGGTGCATAGCCATCATACTATTTACTATATATTATATGCACCTATAAATATTGAGATGGCTATGCATTGTTTGTTGTGGGAAAGCCCCCAATAAATAATGTAATCTTATGATAGCTCTTGTGTACTTAATAGAAAAATGATACTAAAGACACTACATGAAGAATTTAGTATATGCATAAAGCTCATGAACAATAACATTTTAAACCATGGTGCACAATAGAAGGCAATGTTCATTCAAAGTAAGTTTAGACACATTTTCCTAGCTATAAAACACATGATTAAAAAGTTGGTAAAACACTTGTTGTCAAGCAAGGCATTGCGAATCAATATGTGAATATTGACTTTAATGAACATTACTTGGTACTTTACGGTGGAATTTGAGATCAGTTATTTGAACCAAACATGATAAATGCATAAAATATGTAACCAAAGTCTTGGAAAATTTTACATTAGCACTGCATGAAAAATATTCAAGTGTGAAGAAATGATAGTTTGGTCAAGCAGCAGTAGCAAGAAATCAAATGTAGCAACAGTGATAAATAAGATTTAGGTTTGATAGAAGAATAGCAGCTTGATTAAAGATTAAGATAATAGAGAATAACACTGAACACTTGATAGATTGGCCTTTTTGAAATAAAAAATAAAAACATACAATTGTGCAAAATCATTTGTTTCCTAGGAATAGGTTTTTGTCTTGTGAATTTCTTATTTATATTTATAATTCATATGGTAGTGATTAGACTGAAAGTAGTTTTGATACAATGTAATATAGTAATACAGCAAAACTGATGAGCTGATGAGTAAATGATTTATCTGAAAGATTAAAACTAGATCCACTGTCATGGCAGCTTGAACACTGTATTTACTATTACTATGCATAATTGTTAGAGTAAATTTGTGCATTATTGCCATTTAAGTAAATTTCACTTTGTGAATGTTAACATGAACATTGAAATAATATAAATGAAATCTTAAATTTATAAATTTTCACTTATGCTAACTTTTTAGCTGCATGGTAAGAAAATATGTCCCACTGGTAATGATTAAATTGACACCTGTAATAATGTAATATATATATTTATATATATATATATGCCTTTCAGATTTAATGAATGACTCTCGCCCTCTTTGTAAGTATGGCGCTGGGTGTTATCAGAAGAATCCTTTGCACAAAGCCAAGTATAAACATCCAGAAGTGACTAAAATGTTGCCCACCAAGGAATTTCAGCCTATAGTAGAAACTCAGTCAAATGCTGATCCAGGTTCTGTGGATGACCCTTCTACATCAAGAGACAGAGCGAGTCAAGAGGAAGATGTGGGTGAGGAAGTTGGCAAGTCAGCTTAAAATGTCCTTTCGTGGCATCTGCACATTCTTCTGTGACTGAACATTTACTTGTTAAATTGCTTGCTATTGACAATTTTTATTTTCCTGCAAAGATTTTTTTTTCTTGCAAAATTCTAAGGTTGAGCCTATTTCCATTTTCCAGGTCCACCTAGGAAGAAGATTAAGACCAACACTAACAAGACAAATGCTTCTTCAGCTCAAATGAAAAGGTTTGCACTAGTTTTAGCACAAGTAAATACTAATGAGCCTACCGCTGACATCCATGAATATTAAAAAAATCGGACTATGAACTTTTTAAATGGGGCATTAGTTGGCTATGATTATCAGAAGATGCTGAGCCAAAATTTTGAAGACTAAGAAAACAAAATATTAGTACCTACAAAAATTATTACCTTGCACATTATTCTCATCATATAGATACTGTCAATATGGATTATAGTTTGCCATCTAAATATTAAATTTTTCCTAATTTGCATGAGAGAGGTGTTGAGCCATTGGATTGAAATAGGGAGCCAAAAGAGCTAATGTTAATGGCAAATATTTACCACCAATTTTTTGCTTTGCCGAGGAATCCCCTTCAATTGAGCTAACAAAAATTTAACCTTTAATTTAAAATCTCAATAGAGGAGAAAATTTTATGAATTTAATTTTTTAATATTATGAATTTGAATTATTTCAATTTTTTAAATGTTTTTATTTGTTTCAAGAGACTAATATCAATGTGAGCTGTCATTCCCCTCACAGGTTTGCTCATCGACTTCAACATTGTTCTATGTATAGAATCTTCCTCAACAAGATTTTCTCGCTGGAAGCCACCCGGCATGATAACAATGCTCTTGTATTCCCGGACCTCCTGAGCCCTTCTTTGGGAGAACTCATTGAAACTGCCCAGGTCATTTGACTTCCTGTATATGTTGTAAGTTAAGCTCACATGCACTTCTTGCTGTTTCATTCTGGTACATTTTGCTCTTCAGTTTTGATTAATGGATAAATTCTACTTTGCCAGCTTCTTTTTTCATTCAATTTGGTTATTATACAATTTTTTATTATTTTAAATTATCAAATTATATACCAGTACCATATGGTAGGTAGTATGCTGTATATCAATAGGGCAGAGATTATTTGATTTTTGCCTAGAATAAGGCCAGAAATTGTTGGAACCAGATGATTTTGACGAACGATTGTATGAACGTTTTTGATCTGCCCTTATAACAATATAGGTACCGTAGCTCTCCTATTATACCAGGTTATTCTAAATGATAGTCAATTTAATAAATTTATTTTTATTTAAGCATGAAGTAAAAATGAATTGTTTGTACACCAAGAAAAAAATATGAAACTTCAAAATTTTCTTTTATATATTTATAAATGTTACATAAAATACACTTCCCCTTGTGCTGCACAACAAACATCTAAACGGCCGCCAAACTCGTCCCACACACGAGAAAGAATATTGTCTTTATATATGTACAAGGAAAATAACCATATGAATTTGAAAGCGTTCATACATCACAACATAGCAGATTATTATCATCTGGCAGGGGATGAGAACAATCAGCTAATATTTATTCACAAAATTTGCATGGGTTTTATTGACTTTTGAATTTATGGTAAATTCCAAGTCATGATGCTACCTGAACTTTGCATTGATGTTTGATTATGTTTAGTTCCAATGCAATGGACTTGCAGGATTTCTCTGTATATTCATTTAGATGCACATGAAGATTGATTGATTTAAATAAGTTCAATGGATTAAAACTTTTCTGTGTCTGTGTACTTTATGATGAGTAATTCTCCTAGGAGTTTTTTATTGATGTTAATTATTGATGCAAGCATTAATATTAATAAATGTTTCATTACATATCAGTGTTTAGCTTGGTTGCTGTTAGGTTTCTGGACAGAAATGCACAAATTGTGGGTTAACCGTAGTTAATTAGACTTGAAATAAATTTATAGTAATGAATAAATAATTTTTTTCACAAAACATTACTTCTTTATTACTAAAAAAAACTTATCCTCTGTAAGCAACAGAAATTTTGATGCTAGGTGACCACCTTACAACCTCTTTCATCAAGATCTTAAAGTGAAGAAAACAGTACATATTGGCTGCAAAAGAAAGGCTTGATAGCCTCTCAATTTCAAAATTTTTGTTATATATTCATAAGTAAGCCCACATATTTTGGGAAGTGATGAAATATATTATATTTGCCCAAGAATAAGTTTTGACTTTGACCCTAACAAAGTTTTGCTGGTGTCTAGACACCACAATGGCCATGTGTACCTACCTTACATTTCTAATCAAGCTGACGAGCAACTCTGTTCAATGTTTATGGTATTGGAAGTAAGTGTGCAATATATTTGCTCTGATAAGAATATTATTATCGACACTTTTTACATTGTCTTTTTAGTTGAAACTTCATGATCTTTTTTTTCAGTTCAACTTTCTGGTTGACTTGGAGTATCTTCACCAAAATTATGATGGCTGCGGTGTAGCAAACTTGCCGCTCCTTCTTGTCTATGGAGAGATGGAGGGATGCCAAGCACTCTTCCCAAATGCTACTTACAAAAAGGTTTGAAATTATTAGCTCATTATCTTTTTTAAGAATCTTGAGGCTGAATTCTTATCCTTTTTAACAATTTTGAGGCTGGATTCTTGTCCTTTTTAAGAATTTTTAAGCTGAATTCATGTCCTTTTTAAGAATTTTGAGGCTGAATTCTTGTCCTTTTTAACAATTTTGAGGCTGAATTCTTGTCCTTTTTAAGAATTTTGAGGCTGAATTCTTGATTTTTTTTAGAATTTCGAGGCTGCATTCTTGTCCTTTTTAAGAATTTTGAGGCTGAATCCAATTCCTATTGATTGCTCTCCAAACTTATTGTTGATAATCTAGAAAGTTGATTATATTCAGCATGTTTTCTCTTGCGTGAAATGAACTACATATACCAATTCTATTCTGTTCATAACAGTGATTAAGAAAAATGTAAGAAGTTTTGATATTTGCCATCTCTGACAATAATAATTTCCTCATCTGGCTCGCTGATGACATGAGCAGATTGATGCTAGCTTTACTCATTGACGCTAGCTTTACATGAGCAGGTTGTAATGCCGTACCTGTACGGAACTCATCACACCAAGATGATGTTGCTGCACTACACCACAGGCCTGCGGGTGGTGGTGCACACGGCCAACCTGCGCCCTGACGACTGGTATGAGAAGACTCAAGGCTTCTGGGTCTCTCCACTATTCCCTAAACTACGTAAATCAAGATATATTACGACCATCAATGAGCAGTGCAGTCTTAATTGATAAAGATATGCAGCGATAAAATACACAGTATCAAAAATATGCAAATATGTAGAGAAATTACTGAAATTTAACTATATTCTATTGTAAATACGGTTGATGCAGTATGCGGCAAATAAAATATATTAAGGAAATTATGATGTGAAGGAGGCTTTATGATTGAATCATATTGATTGAACGTCATTTTCATTTGTGCTGTTTGGGGTCTTTTGCTACATTCACAGACTTCCATGTTTTGAAGAGAATTTCCTATGCTGGAGTGATGTCACATAATTTTAATGGAGCCTGTGTAATATTTTCTTGAATGATACGTCCGGGGTAGAGTGCAATTAATGCAGTACTTATATACCTTCAGAAAAAGAGGATGCATGTGAAGGAGATTCCTGCACTCGCTTCCGTGCGGACCTGCTAGCCTACCTTCGGTGCTATAAACTGACGGACGTGAACCGCTGGTGCGACCTGCTGCTTCAGCACGACTTCTCCTCCTGCACGTGAGTCTCGCCCTCCTGCACCTGTCTCTTATACACATCTAGAAGATGCTGAGCCAAAATTTTGAAGACTAAGAAAACAAAATATTAGTACCTACAAAAATTATTACCTTGCACATTATTCTCATCATATAGATACTGTCAATATGGATTATAGTTTGCCATCTAAATATTAAATTTTTCCTAATTTGCATGAGAGAGGTGTTGAGCCATTGGATTGAAATAGGGAGCCAAAAGAGCTAATGTTAATGGCAAATATTTACCACCAATTTTTTGCTTTGCCGAGGAATCCCCTTCAATTGAGCTAACAAAAATTTAACCTTTAATTTAAAATCTCAATAGAGGAGAAAATTTTATGAATTTAATTTTTTAATATTATGAATTTGAATTATTTCAATTTTTTAAATGTTTTTATTTGTTTCAAGAGACTAATATCAATGTGAGCTGTCATTCCCCTCACAGGTTTGCTCATCGACTTCAACATTGTTCTATGTATAGAATCTTCCTCAACAAGATTTTCTCGCTGGAAGCCACCCGGCATGATAACAATGCTCTTGTATTCCCGGACCTCCTGAGCCCTTCTTTGGGAGAACTCATTGAAACTGCCCAGGTCATTTGACTTCCTGTATATGTTGTAAGTTAAGCTCACATGCACTTCTTGCTGTTTCATTCTGGTACATTTTGCTCTTCAGTTTTGATTAATGGATAAATTCTACTTTGCCAGCTTCTTTTTTCATTCAATTTGGTTATTATACAATTTTTTATTATTTTAAATTATCAAATTATATACCAGTACCATATGGTAGGTAGTATGCTGTATATCAATAGGGCAGAGATTATTTGATTTTTGCCTAGAATAAGGCCAGAAATTGTTGGAACCAGATGATTTTGACGAACGATTGTATGAACGTTTTTGATCTGCCCTTNTAACAGCTGCCACTAACAGCTGCCACTAACAGCTGCCACTAACAGGTGCCACTAACAGGTGCCAGTAACAGGTGCCAGTAACAGGTGCCACTAACAGCTACCACAAACAGCTGCCAGTAACAGGTGCCAGTAACAGCTGCCACTAACAGCTGCCACTAACAGGTGCCACTAACAGCTGCCAGTAACAGCTGCCACTAACAGCTACCACAAACAGGTGCCACTAACAGCTGTCGTGTACAGGTGCGTGTGGTGTACCCCAGTGAGGAGGACGTACAGCACAGCACTCAGGGCTGGGGGGGCGGGTCGTGTCTGCCCTACAGCAGCAGCACTCACAGCAGGCAGCCCTGGCTACAGCCACATCTCTGGTGGGCTTTTCGTTAACTTTTTCTTCAATTTAACTTTACTGAACTCTTTCTTAAACTTAACTTAACTTTACTTAACTTCTTAAACTTAACTTAACTTTACTTAACTTTTTCTTCATCTTAACGTAAGTTTACTTAACTTCTTCTTGAACTTGACTTTACTTTTTCTTCAACTTGCCTTAACTTTACTGAACTTCTTCTTCAACTTAACGTAAGTTTACTTAACTTATTGTTGAACTTAACTTAACTTTTTCTTCGATTTAACTTAACTTCACTTAACTTTTTCTTTAACTTAACTTAAAATTTTATTTAACTTAACTTAACTTTACTTAAATTCTTCTTTAACTTAACTTAACTTTACTTAACGTTTTCTTCAACTTAACTTAGCTTTACTTAAGTTTTTCCAGTTTTTTCTTGGATTTTTTTCTTTGTTGAACTGTCGTTTTGACGTCATTACTTAACTTTTCTAGTTTTTTTCCTGTTATTTTGCACTATTAAAATCTCGTTTCGACTGAAAGGTGGCTATTATATACGTGCTTTGACTTCGTCATTATGAGACTGCTCATAGATATTTCATAGATGAAGAAAAAGTACATAGACTGCTCATAGATATATTTTGACCATGTTGTCATGTTGTTATTGCCCAAGCTTATTCTTGTACTGATTGATGTGCACCTCCTAATTATTAGCGCATTTTCTCATTTATGGAAAAATGCACTATTGTGCTCGCCATGTATGTCTGTCCGTCTGTCCGTCCGTCCGTGACTTCAAGTTTTCGTCGACGAGAAAATGCGCTCTTTGTCACTCACTGCAGTGAGTACTGAGTTATATTTTTTTATTAACTGTGACTTTGTTGTGCCGTTGCAGCCGTTGGAGGAGCTCCCCCTTCGGGCGTACAGCAGCCATGCCGCACATCAAGACCTACTGCCGCTACAACGACGCCCTACACACGGCGCAGTACCTCCTCCTGACCTCAGCTAACCTGAGCAAGGCGGCGTGGGGGGCGCTGCAGAAGCAGGGCTCGCAGCTCTTCATCCGCAGCTACGAGGCGGGAGTCCTGCTACTGCCGCACTATCTGGTCAGCTGCACGCCTACATATCATTATAGCACTTCATTCAGAACAATGCTAGTTATATTTTGTTTTTGTAAATGTTATATCAGATATATTCTATTTCATGATGCCTGATTATAAGAATAATGAAGTTTACCTTTATGTCATTTGTCTTTGATCGTTAATTCAGCGATACGCCGACATGTCATAATTATAGCTCTTCATAACAATGCTAATTGTGATATTTTATTTCATCATGTCTGATTTTAAGAATAATGAAGTTTACCTTCCTGTCCCAAGCCTAGATCATTATTTCAGCGATGTAAACTCACCCAGAGTTGGCCGCTAGCGCTGTGTGTGTTCATCATTAAACCAGAGCACTCACGCCTAGCCCTCATTAATGATTAGGATTGCAGGTTTATGCCTGGCGTCGCAGGTAAGCGCCATGAATTGATTAGCGACACATGCACACATTAGAGTGAAGGAAATTTTGTGTCCGTCAATCAAGCGATCTGCACTGAACGGCTTTGAGATCCTCTGAACTAACCTCTCTCTCTCTCCAGGCCGGCGAGGACTCCTTCAGTCTAGCGGGCGACCCGCGCGCCACGACGCTGCCGCTGCCCTACGACCTGCCCCTCGTGCCCTACAGCGCCTCCTGCGTTCCGTGGCTCAGCGACACCAGAAAGACCGTAAAGGACGTCCTGGGACGCGCCTACCGCGTGTGACCTGCCAGGGCCGCCCCTACTGGGGGTGGGGTGTACTTGGGGCGTGTTAACTGGTAGTAAGAGGAGTATTTTGGGGGTTTGAGGCGTGTTAATTGGAAGTTGCGGTTGGTGAGGTCTATACTGGGGATGGATTGTGTTTAATTGGGGTGTGTGCATTTTGGGTAGAGGGCGTGTTTACTTAATGGCTGAAGTGTACTTTAGATATGGGGCGTGTTAATGTGGGGGAGTACCTATGTACTTGATAATGTAATGTATACTTGGAGTATGGAGTGTTTCAACTAAAGCATGTAATGTGGACATGGTGTGTAGCGCTTGGCACGTGTGTGATGTGTGATGCTTGGTATCTTTATAAATAAACGGCACGTTTTGTGCGTGTTTTTTTTAAACAATTGTGTTTTAGTTTGAGGATGATACATTCCAGCCCAGTGGTTAATATCACAATGCGTTCAAACGTGCGAATGATGTGAAGGAACTCGCTCATATAGCAGCTTCTTGTTGTGGTGTTTAGAAATTCTGGAAGCTTTATTGATTGTTTTCTTTTTGCTTCTGAAACACATCATGTTTTTAGATAAATTCGCAACTCAATTAGTCTGTGATTCACCTCCATGTATCTTGTCGAACAAATAAACGTGAAACCGATAAATATCTGTTTTCATTTTATGCCGTTTTTTTAAATTATATCACTGTTCAAGAGATTCCGTTAATTTCCTTGGGTTCATTGCTTCAAGAGTTTCAATGATCATAATTCAGGATAGGATTTCCTCCACAGAAGATAGAATTTCCTATCTTCAGGATAGGATTTCCTCTCACTTGGTGGAGCTGTGATGACTGGTGGCGTCAGCAGGGCTAGAGCTGTGATGACTGTTGACGTCAGCAGGGCTAGAGCTGTGATGACTGTTGACGTCAGCAGGGCTAGAGCTGTGATGACTGTTGACGTCAGCAGGGCTAGAGCTGTGATGACTGTTGACGTCAGCAGGACTAGAGCTGTGATGACTGGTGGCGTCAGCAGGGCTAGAGCCTGTCTCTTATACACATCTAGATGTGTATAAGAGACAGGCNTGTCGCATCGTACCATGTGTGCCACCATATCGCATCGTACCATGTGTGCCACCATGTCGCATCGTACCATGTGTGCCACCATGTCGCATCGTACCATGTGTGCCACCATGTCGCATCGTACCATGTGTGCCACCATGTCGCATCGTACCATGTTCCCCAATTTCTTTGTACCTATTCGTTGCATGACTTGCATCTCTGCTCATGGGTGTAAGTTCCCGACTTCATTACTCTAGTTTATTCCCGACTGTTGCGATCGTTTGAAAAACTTTACACTCTTCTAGTTATGAGCTTCAGGTCTTCTCTTGTACATTTAAGCAGAGCTGGGTCTGCTGGTCTGTAATAGATGCACCTGTATTAATTAATGCCACAGCCTAAGCAAGCTTTGCCCGTTCATTGCTTACCGAACTTCGCCCTCGTGGTGATGCGCCTGATCGTTTGGATTCTCAAACTTTAGGAGGTTGCGAGCTCGTGAATGGATTTATATGATGCGAGTTATATTTGTTACTATAGCTACGTATATAATAAAAAATATACTATATTATTATATTATATATAATTATATATATATCGACTCAATATGTATTTGACTTAAGCCTATAAGCACGTCACTTGAATGCTATTTTTAATAGCAAATTGTATATCAATTTATTCAAGCGATGATTCATTTTATGGGATATATTTATCTTCGGCGTGCTATTACATCAAGATTTCTTGGGTAATTTACGTTATATATGGTAAATATACACAACTAAATATTGTTAGGCAAAGTTAAAAGATGAATGATAAATGTACCGGTGCTTATTTGTTCAAGTTTGACATACAAAACATTGATTTTATATATAAATTTATTGAAAGTGAGATTAAACGTATTTAATTTCAGACGCTATTCCATTTTTTTTCAGCGAAAATATTTTGTTGTGTCCAACATCCCAGTTCGATCCCAGCTCTGTGCGCCAGTTTCTGGTCAGAATCGGCAAGGAGGCCGGGCGGTTAAGCACAGCAGAATTGTAGCAGTGAGTTGCGAGTTCGATACCGCAAAATGCTGTGAATGTTCTGCTACGTTAAGAATCGGCGACAGGCCTACAGCCTACTAAATGCTGAAACCACTATTATTTATTATTATATTATTTTTTGTACCAAACTCTACGGAAGCTGAGCTGTAATGCGGTTGCTGTAACCCGTAGACTGGAGGAAGGTCCATTATCGCCTCGCGGTAAAAAAAACTGAGGAAATGTCTATAAGAAAATGGTTCTTCCTCGTTTTGTATGAATAATCACTCTTAGGATGACTAAAAAAACTGTATAAAAAAGGTCGTCTTTTAATGACCATTCGACGTGTATCTGCGAAAACCTCCCCAATCTTGCTCCTCGAGGGAGTGACGCGTGGCTTCTATAGGCTTGTTTCTGTGAACATATTACTTAAACTTTCGACGCTTTGTAGCGTGTCCTTAAAAGTGGCTATTTCGCGGTCGGGATGTTAGTGCGCGTGACCTTATCAGTGGTTGTGTTAACGTTATCAGTGTCAATGAACTGCATTTTATTTTATTTCGATTTGCCTCCCCCTCCACTGTCAAGATGCATGATGAGTAAGTAGATTTTCGTGCGAGTCGTTGACTTCCATATCCATACACGCACTCCCTATTCGAGAAGCTCTAACCTATTACTATTGTGACTTGCTCAATTGGCACCAGTATAATAGTATGAAGTGCGTTAGTTCGTGCGTTAGTTCCTGGGTACTTATATTTCACTGTATAGTAATATGCCAAAAATTTGATAGCTGCGCTTTTTGCCCAATTCAAACTTCTTAAACTTGAGGTAAAGTAATATTAAGCCAAACTAATATTGTTATGTAATAAATTTCAATGACTGAATGTTGAAGAAAATCATTACCAGCATTGCAGTCATAATGAAGAGAGTTTAGGTTATTGAAGCATTATGCGAGAAAACATGTAGTAGAAATTCATATTCAACATCATTTCCACTAGGGGACTAGTGGCTGGTTTCTTCCTTAGGGTACGCACACATGCAGTGAAAGCAGGTTTGCCCGCGCGGGCAACCTGCTCCAACCTGCCACAACCACAAGAATGAACATAGGATAATAATGTAAGTGTTCACAGTGAAAACCTGTACGAATAGGCTTCTGTATTCTATGGTTTCAGGCGCCAGCCTGAGCAGGTAACCAGCACGCTGGCAACCTGCTTTCACTGTGTGCGTACCCTTAGAAGTAAATGGGCTATGAATTTTCAATAGTGGGTAGATTTTTCTGCTAGCTCGAACTATAGTTCTGACAGTCGTCCGCGAAGGACGTACTTTATTTAACGTCAATCAATAACTTGAGCCTGCCTTGTCCTTTCGCTGCACAGCTTCCTCGAGTTTGACCGCTAGTGCTTAACTTTTTGCGCTTATCCATATTTTGAATAAAAATTGCGCTTATCTATTTTTTGAATATAAATTTAATTAAATATTTTAACAATTTGTCTGATTTTTCTCCGCCTCTTTAAAATAAGTTGTTTTTTTTTTTAAATGGGATGACAAAGAAGTTATGTTATTAAAATAAAATCGACGGCTGCTTGTCTGCGCCATGCTCAACGTACGGTAGGAGAGAGGATAGTAGCAAGCATTGTCGAACTAGTAGTATATAGTTCAACCATGGCTGGGCTGCCCCCGAAGAGGTAACATCGAGAGAAGTTCAAGAAAGAAGTGAGAAGAATCACTGCTGGGTGGAGTGCTGTAGGTTCTGCATACGAGAAGCGAGTTTAGGGCCTTCCTCTGAACACGTCGAGCACTCGGGCACTTACAATAGCACTGACTAGAGCAGAACTGCGCCAAATGGTAAAAGCAACAGAGCAAAGGCCGTAATATAACAAAAAATAACTCAGTACTCAGTGCAGTGAGTGACAGAGAGCCCATTTTCTCGTCGACGAAAACTTGAAGTCACGGACGGACAGATAGGCGGACGGACATGTCGAGCACAATAGCGCCTTTTTTCATAAATGAGAAAATGCGCTAAAAATAGTTGAAAGTTTGTAAATCCCGCAGCCAATCACTTTCGGCTTTTCAAGCTAAGCTTACCAGTCGCAGACGAGAAATCGGCCGCTACGTGTACTTAGTTTTAAATGTACAGCCGCGGGACAGGAGACGGTGGAGATGGGGCGGTATGAATCTTATTGTTCCCGGCAGTCTTGGCGGTGCGATAAGCATTCTCGCTTCAATCGATACCAGTAATTAGTATCGATTCAATCGATACCAGTAATTAGTATAGATTCAATCGATACCAGTAATTACCAGCAAATAATACTTCAATCGATACCAGTAATTGGTATCGAGTTTCGCATGGCTTGGCCGCCTTATATGAGCCGACTGTAATCCGTCACCAAAATATATGAGAAAAATGGATGTCTTGATAAATTTCCTTGTCCGTCAGTTACAGTAATATTCCGTAGCCTTTCAGGTTTCAATAATTTTAATATTTCAACTTTAAATCATTCATCGTTTGAATACATTGATTCAACGAGGTAAGCATTACCGACTTGATCTTTAGTAATTCTCACGTTTTTACGATGCGTCTGTAATTGCCAGAATGGCCTTTCCCAGCGTTTACTCATGTCTTTCTGTAATTGATAATTTATAAATACATTTCATTTTGTACGTACATGCAAGGTGAATGTTTAATTCCGGGCTTTTCATCACGTGGGTAAGTTATCATTATGTATGTGAGCAAGTGACATTATTCTCGTGTGATTCTTAGTTAGTTGATAGAGAGCTTATGAGTCGTAGCCTATGCAGAACACATCGTAATATCGTACGTTGTATATTATAACACAAAATCTTACGATTTTATTATCGTAAACACTTTCAATGTAATATAAGAGTTGACTTTGAATTGCCCCCTTTACATATAACCTTGTTCTTACAGGCCACGTCTCTAGATTAATGAAACGTAATTCTGTAAAAAAAACTAATTGCTTCAAATTGTGATGAGCTGTTTGGGAGAAATGAACATTGTTCCACATAATATAATCATCAAACTGAAGATAATTTTATTGACAACTTTGTACATCATGCTCCTAATTCTCTACATCAGGTGGATAGATTTCGCAGGTAAGTTAAGACCGTCGTTTTTGTGAGTTCATTTGTGTAACCACTCGGGACATTCAACCAAAATATTTTTCGCATAAACTTACGATAAAAAATAGTTGTTACTATGAAGTTGCTGCAGAAATTTAATAGCTTTACCTCCGTTGCAAACATAGACACGTCTTACTGACTGGAAACCATGTGTGTTCGTCAGTGCAGTCATAGCCTGTAGAATATTCAAGCGCTTCTAGCAATTGTCATGCACTGAAGAAAATGTTAAGCAAAATATAATGTATCGTAATCAAAGGTCATCCCTAACACTTGGTTCTCTCGAATAAAGGCAACAAGGCGATTGAGATTGACTGGGCAGGGTGCACATGATGCCCTCTTATGTAAATACAAAAATCGTCCATTTCAATGCATTGCTCCACAACTGAAGCATTTTTCTAAGAGAGCTACAGCTTAAGTTTTGAGAGCATTCTTCAAGCCAATAAATATCTTGTG